CAGTGGTGTGTTAGTTTCTGCTGTATAACAAAGTGAATCAGTTATACATATACATATGTCCCCATATCCCCTCCCTCTTGCGTCTCCCTCCCTCCCACCCTCCCTATCCCACCCCTCCAGGTGGTCACAAAGCACCAAGCTGATCTCCCTGTGCTATGTGGCTGCTTCCCACTAGCTATCTACCTTACGTTTGGTAGTGTATATATGTCCATGCCTCTCTCTCGCCCTGTCACAGCTCACCCTTCCCCCTCCCCATATCCTCAAGTCCGTTCTCTAGTAGGTCTGTGTCTTTATTCCTGTCTTACCCCTAGGTTCTTCATGACTTTCTTTTTCTTAAATTCCATATATATGTGTTAGCATACGGTATTTGTCTTTCTCTTTCTGACTTACTTCACTCTGTATGACAGACTCTAGGTCCATCCGCCTCATTACAAATAACTCAATTTCATTTCTTTTTATGGCTGAGTAATATTCCATTGTATATATGTGCCACATCTTCTTTATCCATTCATCCGATGATGGACACTTAGGTTGTTTCCTTCTCCTGGCTATTGTAAATAGAGCTGCAGTGACCATTGTTGTACATGACTCTTTTTGAATTATGGTTTTCTCAGGGTATATGCCCAGTAGTGGGATTGCTGGGTCATATGGTAGTTCTATTTGTAGTTTTTTAAGGAACCTCCATACTGTTCTCCATAGTGGCTGTACCAATTCACATTCCCACCAGCAGTGCAAGAGGGTCCCCTTTTCTCCACACCCTCTCCAGCATTTATTGTTTCTAGATTTTTTGAGGATGGCCATTCTGACCGGTGTGAGGTGATATCTCATTGTAGTTTTGATTTGCATTTCTCTAATGATTAATGATGTTGAACGTTCTTTCATGTGTTTGTTGGCAGTCTGTATATCTTCTTTGGAGAAAATATGACAGGTAATTTTATAAATATTATTTTGACAGATAGTAGAACGTGCCAGGGGCAGAAAACCCATGCAGTGGAATATGTGACGTATTTAAATTACTTCTTTTAAAATGAACTTCATGTTTTCAATAATAGATGTTTATCTTCCAGGTTAAACCTTAACTATTCTCATTTTCACTGAAATGGCATGTTTTTAAAAAGGCAAAGTTACTCCCACAGTCCGCTGCATCCTATGTGCCGTCAGAGCAGGGCCCCAGTGTGAGTCCCGTGGGATTTGAAATTGTCATTTTCAAATCGTCTGACCCCGGCCAGGCCATGTGCTGGCCTGGGGGCTGGGAGGAATACGCCTTGGCCACACAAGAGACAGTCTTAGCCAGAGACTCATTTACGTATTCTTATATTAAATGTCACAGAATGGAATGCTAAGAGGCAAAATTTGTTTCTTCATCGGTCTCTGATCTTATTTTTACATTTCCTGTTTTAAAAATGTAGGTCAAGTCCAGCACAGAGTACAGGTTTCTTAGGAGGTTCGTTAAGTTGGCAAAAGACCGGACTCCCGCTCCCCAGCAGGGAGAAGTTGGGTGGACCCGGCAAGCTGGTCTTGGTTCCCCCCTAACTGAGCTCTGTGTGTAGAGATGCTCCCGTGTCCACACAGGAAGAAAGCTCTTCAGTTCAAACAGGAGAGGCATCTTGTTTCTGCAGAATTAAGCCACGTGAGCAGGACCCACCTTGAAATGAGCGTCAGGCGCTGGGGGGCTCCTGGCAGGTTCTCTGTGTGGCGGCCTTAGGGCAGGAAAGGCTCTGCACTGGCCTCGCGAGGGGCGCAGCAGGCCAGTAGGGCCGCGAGTGGACGCGTGGGTCTCTCAGCAAACGTGACGCTTCCTCTAGCTCTCTGCTCACCACGGCCGCTCGGATTCAGCCGCAGGCCTGAGACCGCCTCCCCTCCTCTGTGCACGCCCGTCAGACACTCATCCGGTCCATGTGGGCCGGACACCTGTGGGTCGGTGTGAAAGCTCGAGTATTTTACTAGGAAGGAACCACTTCGACCACGAGCACATCCACGGGTGCTTGGAAACACGCCACAGACGAAAACGATAAAAATTGGGAGCCTGACGCGTGAAACTCCTGCCGCCGCCAGGAAATGAGATCTTCCCAACCAACTACCGAATTCCAGACCAGTCTGGAGAGCGCGTGCGTGTGTGCGCGTCTGAGTGTGAATGTGCGCGTGTGTCGGTGTGTGCTGCGTGTGCGTCCGTGCACACCTGTCCTACGTGGAGCTCCTGCTTGTCTCCAGAAAATCTCAAGGGTGACGTTCAGAGCCCCCGGGGGCCACTCCACAGCCTGTGACAAACACGGGCTGTTAAATATTAACCGGGTGCTACGGAATGCTCTGGAATGTCCGCAGACACCGGACACCCGTGGTGAGCTCGTGTGGGAGCCTCAGAGCTGCTGGACGTTCACCTGAAGCTGTAAATTCATTCACCGGGGGCTGCGGTCCAGCAGCGGTCAGTCCTGGCTCGTGGCCTGCTGTCTCCTATCCATAGTTGTGACACCATGCAGACCCTGTTGGGCGGAAGGGGGGGGGGGGGGGGGGGGGCGGAGGAGCCGCTGACCCTGCGGGGGCCCCGCCCTAATAAGGCGCCACCCGGATCCCTCGTCTGGCCCGGCTGTCAGCCCCACCAGCGGCCTGGCGCCCAGGCACATCCTTTCCGGGGGCCCCAAGCGGGTGGCGCGCGGGCCCTGGCCCTCTGCTTGCTGAGTGCCCGTGAGGCTCCCGTGAACGGCCTGTGTTGTTTGGGACTGTCTCCTGAGCTCTGTGAGGCTCCCGTGAACGGCCTGTCGTTGGGACTGTCTCCTGAGCTCTGAAAATTTATAAGTGCTTCTTCATCTCGTAATTAAGTGAAGTCAGCGCAGTAGCTGGTCTTTGTCAGCGCGGCTTTGATGAACGCTTCACTGCTGATTTGAACCACACTTGAAACAGCAGGCGCTCGCTTCTCTGGGTTGAAGAGACATTTGTTCCCAAACGCAGGGATGGAGGAGAGCTCGGGGAGGCCACAGTGCGGGGGGGGAACAAGGCGGGCGCTGCTAACTGGATGTCGTAGAAAGAAATGGAAAACCAGCCAGGGCAGCATATAGTGAGTTCTCTGCAAGGAAGACAGCGAGCGAGACACCCGGGCAGAGCAAGCACTCAGCTCCCAGCGCTGGACCTCCCAGCGGATTCCGACTCACTCATCTGGACGGAGCTTCAGCTTCCATTCTAACGTCCCAACTTGGAAAAACGACCCGTAGAGACGGAAGCAGGATCTCGGTCACCGCGGTCAGCTGCAGCTGGACCGGAGGTTTCCCGTTTCTTCGGGTCACTGACACATGCCCCTCTTGTGCTCCCTCGGTCACCTGGCAGCCTGGCCCTTTGCGCTGTGCCCCGGCCCCCTCCGTGTCCTGAGCCAGTGCGGCTTGGAAGGTCTTGGTCATCCAGCCTGAGCTTCTTCCCCGTGGGCTGTGCAGTGACTGTCAGGGCGCCTTCCCACAGGGCAGAGACGGAGCCCGGACGGGGCTCACGGGGCGCGTGGACCCGACCGCAACCCCGCTGCGGGCTGGTTCTTCCGTGGCTTCCACTCGGCCGCAGGGCTGGGAGGGGCTCGCGACCCCCTGAGAATCCCGCAGGGGAGCAGGCGGGTCTGGGGCCTGCAGGTGGCCTCATTGGCACTGCCGCACCAGGGTCTCTGCTGCTGTGGAAGCAGTGACAGCGCTCTCGGGGACGGCACTAGTTTGGCCCATCAGACTGTGTTACAGTTGCTACCTGTTGTCAAAGCGGCTAAAATTAGTCCAGGGAGAACGTGACCACAACGCGAGAAGCAGCACAGCTGTGCTGACTGAGCCTGTCTGCTCGTGGGGCTGCCCCTTCTGCGGGGGTCCTGCGTCGGGACCCTTGGGGGCTCTGGCTGGACGCATCGCCTGCCTCTGCAGGAGGAGGGGTGAGCCCCAGGGGTCCTGTGGAATCTGGGCCTGGGCCTCGCCCTGAGCTGCCTGCTTTCTTCAGGATTTGCCTCTTGAGTACGGTCAGCTGTGACCTGGATGGAGAAGGCGAGTCAAGTTCAGTTCTGAAAAGGACTCACCCTGAGGGAGGCAGCGTCTGGAGGTGCAGGGGCACGAGGAGGGCTCTGACCTGCGCCCCTGGTGGTCAGCCCGGGGGCGGCCAGTGTAGGTCCTGAAATGCGGGAGCAGCGCTCTCCCATGGGCTCCTGGTGCACGATGGGCTCGTTCCGGTTCTGGGGCCCGAGTCTCACTGGGTTTTGTGCCCACACACAATCTTGTCTTCAAGACCGTGCGCCTAGCCGGCTGGCCCACACAGTCGGAACGGCCATGCGCGGCCGCCCGTGTTGGGTCTGATGCTGGTGGCAGACGGGCCACGACCTGGGGCTCCCCGCAGCCGGTCCAGGGGTGCCTGCAGCGGGCACCAGGGCAGCCCGTAGCCACCACCTGCCGAGCCAGGCCGAAAAGGGCCGATGCTGTTTGTATCTTGTTTGCAAGCATCCTGTTTGCTGGTTCGGACTGGCCTGAGCAGGGGAAAGTGCTGGTTCGGACTGGCCTGAGCAGGGGGAAGTGGATGGCGTCCTCTTGGGCGAGCGTCTGAATTCATCAAGGGAGGCTTGTGCGGACGGCTTGGCACTGGCCCAGCTTTGGGTGGGGCCCCACAAGCTGCTGTGTCGCCCGCGTGTGGGCAGAGGGGTGGCCTGAGGAGGAGGCAGTGGCCCGGAGAGACTGGCTCTGCTTCTCATCTGCCTCCCCCTGCGGGTCCCCGTCACGGTCCCGGGCATGGGGCACGTGTGCTCCTGGGAGGCAGGTACATGCGTGCAGGTGTGCACTGCATGTCCGTGTGCGTGTGTCCCAGCGTGGGCAGCCAAGTGTTCAGAACCGACTGCGGAGCAGAGGCCCCAGACTTTGGGGCCCGAGGTGCAGGAGGGGCGGGGGGGACCAGCCCTGGCCTGCGCACGCTCCCCTCTGAACCAGCCTCCGCACGGGGAGCACGGTGGGTCCGGGCGTCGGCACGGCGCTCACAGGCCTGTCCCTCTCTCTCCCCAGCTGCACGGCTACATGGAGAGCGAGCCGCTCACCCTGCAGCTGTTCATCGGGACAGCGGACGACCGGCTGCTGAGGCCCCACGCCTTCTACCAGGTGCACCGGATCACGGGCAAGACCGTCTCCACCACCAGCCACGAGGCCATCCTCTCCAACACCAAGGTCCTGGAAATCCCGCTGCTGCCGGAGAACAACATGCGAGCAATGTAAGCTGCACCTCGGGGGCTCGGTGGGCGGGGGCGGGGGCTCGGTGGGCGCTTGCACGCCTGCATGTCTCCCCACGTTTCCACAGCTCAGGGGGCTTGGGTGCCCTGGGCTTAACACCTCAGTAAACGTTACAAGTATTCATGACAATGGATTTGTTTCTTCCTGGGGTTTCGGCCCCTGTGCATGTTGCCACTTTAAGTATCTCAGTTCACAGCTGTCAGTACTTCCTCCACGTGTGAACGTGCCACTCATTTATTTCTGTGACTGCACTGTGAAAGCTAGAGCAATGGTCAAAAGGCAAACATTGAAACATTAGAGAGACGGTATGTCTGGGTCGTATTTTCACTGAGGGTTTCTGCATCTCCGATGTGACCAGCTGGAATGTGCAGGTCAGATCTGACTCAGTAGTTTAGAGGTGAATTGGTTAACGAGCTACAGGGCAATCTTCTCTTGTCCAAGTAGGGCTTGTGTTCGTGGCTTCCTGAACTGAGTGACTGCTACATGCATTTCACTCCTGAGCTGTGAATGCAGCAGAGAAAGGGGACACGGTTGTCCCACAGGACTTGCCTTCTCCTGGGGGCCTCTGGGGCGGGGGACATAAGGCAGGAACTCATTAGCACGGGGGGCCTGTTGGAGACTTCGGGGGCGAGTGTCTGTGGGGAGGCAGCACAGAAGCCGAGAGCTGACCCTGCAGGAAGGCAGCAAGTGCAGAGGCCCCAAGGCAGGAGTGAGCCTGGGGCATCCACGGGGCAGCGAGGAGCTCAGGGCTGTGGCGGGTGAGGGAGCGGGTGTGGAAGCCACATCGTGTAGAGCTTTGCATGGGATTTGGATAAGTTGTAACTCATAAACCCTCTAAGTCAAAAGCAAAGGGAGGGACTTCCCTGGTGGCGCAGCGGTTGAGAATCCACCTGCCAGTGCAGGGGACACGGGTTCAAGCCCTGGTCCCGGAAGATCCCACATGCGGCGGAGCAACTAAGCCCATGCGCCACAACTACTGAGCCTGCGCTCTAGAGCCCATGAGCCACAACTACTGAGCCTGTGAGCCACAACTGCTGAGCCCACATGCCACAACTACTGAAGCCCACGTGCCTTAGAGCCCGTGCTTGCAACAAAAAAAAAAAAAGAGAGAAAAGGAAAAAGGGAAGGCCTTCTCTCCATGTTGGCTTTTCACGGATTTGGGGGAATTCATTCTAAATCCTTGGGTTTGCTTCAAGAGCTGTTATCACAGTTCCCTCGGACCAGGGCAGATGGTTTGAGAGAACTGCTGGTTCCTTCAGCAGCAGCTGTTCCTTCGGTGGCTGCATTTACCACGATACCATCCAACCCAGAGACGGTGTAGACACCACGGGAGCGGGACTGGCCCCGGGCTCCAGGGCCAGGGCTTCCCTGCTGCTCCGGGCTGGGCTGTGGTCCTGACCCAGAGGCATCATGTGGCCTCGTTTCCTTAGCTTCCGACAGAGGGAAAGGGCTGGTTTCCATCTGATGAATGACGCCTGGGTTGTTCTGCTGGAGTCTGGTGTTGAATGGAACTGTTAAGTTAAATGAAATTAAGTGAAATCATATGAGGCCCTAGAAAACTCAGGATCCTGGATTAAGGGGGCGCCGCCGGAATCCCAAGTGGAAGGCGGTTTCTGGAGCAGCCGGGGGGGCCTTGCTTCGGACGCCCGTCCTGCTCCAGGGCGCCCACCGAGCCCAGGGCAGCGGGGCTGGGGCTTCTGGAGCCCTGAGCGTGTGGCAGCTCTGCCTGCCTGGGTTCCGGGCTCCTGAGGCCGGGGCTGGCTCGTCTCCTGCTGCCTCGGCCCCAGCTCAGTCGACGGGTGGGTGTCTGGCCGCCCCGGCCCCTGGGCAGGGCCGCAAAGAGCCTTCGGTGAGCGGTCGCCGGGATGGGGCGGGGGTCCGGGGCTGAGCATAGACTCTTGTTTCCGGCAGCATCGACTGCGCCGGCATCCTGAAGCTCAGAAACTCTGACATCGAGCTCCGCAAGGGGGAGACGGACATCGGGAGGAAGAACACGCGCGTGAGGCTGGTCTTCCGCGTCCACGTCCCGCAGCCCAACGGCCGGACGCTGTCGCTGCAGGTCGCCTCCAACCCCATCGAGTGCTGTGAGTGCTGCCCCCCCCCACCCCCCACCCCCGTCTCCAGGCTGAGCGGGGCCAGCCCCTGCCACAGGTTTCCCTTCCAGTAGCACCTTGGTTCTCGTGCGCAGTCCCTGAGCTGTGCTCATCCCACCCACAGCACCCGCACCTTCCCGTGCAGCCACGGAAACACCTGCACCCTGGCCAGGGCGCCCGCAGCTCCTGTGCGTGCGTGGTGTGAGGGCTGCCGCCGACTCCCGGCACCTGCAGGAGGGCGTAAGAGGGAAGGAGGTTTGTCCCGAAGTACCGAGATGTTTGCCGTGACCGAATTTGACTTAATCCCCCCACGATTCAGGGAACCTGAGAAAGTGGCATTTTGGCCTTGAAATCTGTTGGACTGAAGGGACCTGAATTTGCAAGCCTGCCCGTATGTAACTCGGGCCTCTGCCCCTGGTGGCCCTGGGTTCACGGCCCTCGGTGTGCGTGGACGGGCCCCGGTGCTGAGACGCTTCTGGCTCGGATGCCCGTGCCCACGCAGCTCCTCCAGGAGCCGGGACCGCCGCGGCCTGGGGTCAGCTTCCTCTTGCAGTGATGCTGTTCGTTTTTGTTAGCGAGTCGGGTGACCGGTTCAGCTCCGCATGGAAACCCCGCAGTGCCCGCCCCCGACCCGGCACCCGGACCCGGGGGGGGACCAGAGTCTCCACTGGCCACGGCCCCAGCGAGAGCCTTTCCACCCGCCCTCCTCCTTCTCTTATCTCTGAAGCACCACCCCACCCCTCCGGTGTGGGCTGTCTCAGGACACCCCCGACCTCGCGGCTCAGCCGCCCACCCGTCTCGGCGGGAACGTCCTGGTTCAGTTCCTTGGCCTCTGACCTGAGCGTCGGCCAGACCTCGGCGACGGGGCGTCCTCCCCCGCAGCCCCTTCTCCTTTTCTGCTGTGTGGTCTTCACCTCCGTCCCAGCCCTCCCCCCTGCTGCTGCTGGACCTTCCTGTCCAGTCTCTAGAAGTCCATCTCCAGGCTGTGGGGTCTGCCACGGATGGCTCTGCCCCCCTGCCCCGAGGCCCCCGCCCCGTGAGGCGGAGTGGGACCCTCCCTCTTGGGTCCCCTGGCTGTTGGGTGACTGTGTCAGGACCCCTGGCTTGGCCTCACCACCTCTCCAGCCACACTTCTGCCTCCTCCTGCGTCTGGTCCTTTGCCCATCCCGCCCTCCCCGACAGCCTGAGCTCGGCCGCCTGTGGCCCGCCAGCCCCTAAGCCAGAGCCCGCTTCAGACGGGTCCCCACATCCCACCTCCTAGCTGGGGACACCTGCTCTCCGGGCCATGGCCTCCCCATCACCAGCAGGGCTCCCCACGGCTTCCCCGGGCCCTTCCCACTGGCAGTCAGTCACCCTGGCAGAGCGCGCCCACTCACTTACACACATGCGTGTGCACGCTCGTCACTGAGAGGTGAGCTGTCTCCACGTGGACAAGTCAGAGGCGTGGCTGCCTTCCCGTGTCACTCTAACCTGGAGTAGACTGTGAAGACCCAGACCACGCGTGGTTACTCTTCTGTTCCGTGTACCAGGGACGGGTTGCACTGCTCACCCAGGAACTCTTTGAAAGCAGGGTGTAGCGGCCGCCCCCGAGAGGGCCAAGCAGAGGGGCCTGGGCGTCTCACTCCCGTTGCTCTCCTGCCCCACACAGCCCAGCGCTCGGCCCAGGAGCTGCCCCTCGTGGAGAAGCAGAGCGCGGCCAGCGGCCCCGTCCTCGGCGGGAAGAGGATGGTCCTGTCCGGCCACAACTTTCTGCAGGACTCCAAGGTCATTTTCGTGGAGAAAGCGCCAGGTATCTTCTTTAAAAACCGACATCGAGCCCTTGCTGTTTGGGCGCCGGCGGAGGTTGGCTGGCAGGAGGTGGGCGCGGGCGGCCACGGGTGCCATGCACAGTCCTGGGCCACTGCACACGGTGCCGGCCGTAGAGGGGCTGCAGGTGCGGGGCCTGCAGGAGGCTGTGCTCTGCAGAGGGATGGCCCCGCGTCTGCCTGGCTAGCGGGCGCCTCCCTCGTGGGCTCCGACCAGCTCCTGCTGCCGGGCCTGCCCGTGTGGAGGCGTCTTCTCGTTTCTCAGAACCACAGACCGTCCAAGGCAGGCGCCTGGGCATGGAGCGGCCACGGTAGCTGAGCGGAGCCCCACTGGGGCCCGGAGACCTTGCTGTACCCCCGGGGCACGCTTCAGGCCCTCGCCCTTGTCAGCACAGAACCCCAAGGTGCACAGGCAGCCGCTGTTCTTTCAGTGACGGCGGCCCCTGGGCCGCTCCGTGCGTGTGCGCACGCCTGTGTGGACCTCTGCACGTGTGCTCGGGAAAGGGGGCTGCGGGTTTGAAGGGGAAGGGTCTCCTCCCTCTGGTGTCTGGGGAACCAGGCAATGAGCCTCTCGCTGTGCTGCAGGGGAGACGCAGGGGCAGCACAGCTCCTGACCTGGGACGCCCGGCCCGACCACGTGGCCACGTGGACCTTCTGTCTCTCTCAAACTCCAGAGTTTGTTTTGGGGGCGGGTCCTTGCAGGGAGCTGGCCCCCAGGCTGGGGAGGGGCTCCTGTGGGGTCCGGGCCTGCTGCCTTATCTCTCGCCTTCTCTTTCCTGGTCACGGTCCCCCTCCCGAGCGCCGGGGCAGGGCTCGTGCTGAGTACCGCAAACCGCGGAGGCACTCAGCCTCCGTAATGGGGTTGGTTTTGTACAGTTTGCAGGAAACTTAGTACTTCAATCAAAATGGGCTTAAAAAGTCTCTCACGTTTAACGTGTTCTGCCTGTACGATCGCGCGTGTGATTGGAAACTGTTTTAGAGGATGGAGCAAACCCGACCAAGTACAGTGGTAGGGGAGGAATCTGTGCCCCCGGAAGGCCCCCCTCTGGACGAGGTAAATTCGGAAATAGCGTAAGCTTCTGTGCTTTAGACGTGTGCACATGCGCAGTGCGTGGGGGGCGGGGAGCCCAGGCCTGGTGCTGCGTCCTCGCCGCGTCCTCGCCGCGCACAGACGTCTGTGGTGGGAACCAGCTGGCGCCCCTCGCTGTTTCCTCGACCAGTTAGCCCCGACTTTGACCTTGGTGCCAGGATGCGACTGTGAGACGTCTCCTGATCCCCTCGGCTCGTCGTGGGTGCCCGTGGGGCTCCTAGGTTGGCGTGGCTTACCGTGGCCCGGTCACGGGGCCTTCACAGCGGCTACCCGCCTGCAGGCGGGAGCCGAGTCCTCGGATGTCCGACCGTCGCCCTCACGTGGCCTCCCGGGCCGCCCCGGCCCCATGCAGGCCGAGCACCGCTGTCGCTCGCTGTCACGTCGGGGCCCGTCCCCAGCCTGCTCGCTCCTGCAGCACATCTGCGTCTGGCAGGTGGAAGGCGAGAAACCAGCGAGTGGGTGGAGGCCAGACGTCCCGTGAACACCGTGTGACAAGGGAGATGTAAAGACGCGGCTGTGCGTCCTGTCACGTCGTGCTTGTGTCCCAGCGGGGTTGTTGGCATGTCTGCGCGCGTACTCGGGCCAGTTCTGTGTTTGCAGGAGGGGCAGGTGTCCACACGCTTTCTGCCTCTGCCTCCATTCTCAGCACAGTGCACGCCGATGCTGCCCGGCTGGGCTTCTCTTGGTTGATTTGCGGGGGGAGAAACCACTGAAGTCAATTTAGATTCAAAGCCTAATCGTCCTCTAGGCTTGCAAGGAGGCCGCCTGGTCTGCTTGAAGGTTCTTTCACCCCCTGCTTGGTGGCAGCAAGGCCGGCGCGCACAGCGAGCCTGGTCTCTGGAGCTGCTGGACGTGGGCAGTGGGCCCCGTGGCAGCCGCTGTAGGAGCATATAGTCCATAGCTGCCGCGAACGTCACCACGTCAGGCCCGGGGGAGCCGAGCTCCGCATCACCACGTCCCCTCGGTTGCACTGGGCCGCGCTCGGAGTGTCCTCAGTGTTTCAGGCTTCCTCCTGGTTGAGGCCCCGCCGTCACCTGTGTCCTCATCGTGGTGACCGAGCAGGGTGCCCGCAGGAGGATGGCCCTCGGGATGTAGGAGCAAAGCCCCGTCTGTGGACGAGGGGCCCGTCACAAAGCGCCGTGGACCAGCCACGCTCAGCTCTGGCTGCATCAGGTGACAACTTTCCGGAACTGTCCTGAGATTCTTCTGAGGTCTTTGTGTCCAGCAAGAGGCTGCAGGGCCTGGCCTTCACGGTTGACAGCCGCGGCCTCCGCGTCAGATGACACCTCCCACGGTGGCCGTGTGTGTGCGTGGACACCGGCACAGGCTCACATAGGGGGCGTGGCAGGTGCGGGATGCCACGGCAGGGCCACCTGCAGGAAGTGAGATGCTGTGCCCGTCTCCCACTGAAGATCTGGGGGTCTCTCTTCAGACCTGTGCGCGGGGGACATATCTGTACGCATGCGTGAGTGTTTGAAACAGCCTGACATACATGAGAACACAGAGAGAGCGCCCACGTGGAGGGGAACTGCCGCTTCTGGAGACAGGAGAGAGGGAGGCTTCAGAGGGTCCGTTGCCGTGAATGTTGTCATGTTCTTGATGCCGACGCTGAAAGTCCCCGCTGTGTGCAGCCCCGGCCTGTTCTCTGCAATTCCTGGAAACCGTGTGAAGCCTGTTTGGGCTTCTTCTGCTGCACGACAGACCTCACCAGAACTTGGCGGCTTCAACAGACAACAGTTTGCCGGCCCTCGCGTGTGGCTGGACGCAGCCGTGGCCCCCGGGTCTCCTACACAAGGCGCCGGGCACTCTCTGTGGGCGCCAGGCCTCCTCAAGGCCCAGACTCAGAGGGGCCGCACCGCACTGGGGCTCACCAGGTCCCAGCCTGCCCAGACTTGGAGGTAGGACACCCAGGGTGTAGACGTGGAGGGTCACCGGGCACAGCGTGACCGCCTGCCACGCGACTGGACCACCTCCTTGTCAGACCTCTTAGTAAGGCCCCAGAGCCAACAGAGACAGACCCCAGAAGAAAAGGTTGCGTCCAGGGTCTCCTAAGACCTTAAAGCGGAAGCAGGACTTGTTTCCTGCGGGGAAGCGTCTGCAGCCGGAGTCCACACTGAACCAGACGGAGACGTTGCCCGTTTTACGGAAGAGGATCGGAGTCGGGCCGTCATGGGGCCTCCCCGGCTGGGTGGTGCCCGGCAGCCCTTTGGCTCTTGGGGTCTGGCCGCTGTGGTCGGCCTTTGCCGGGCGGCGTCTCGGGTAGGGCCTTGCAGGTCGGGTGTCACTCGCTGGTTGTCCAGCTGGCACTCCGGCTGCGGCCCCGCTGACCCAGGTGTTGGTCCCAGGGGTTCTGGAACTTGCACAGAACGGCCCCCGCTGGCTGGTGCGCCGCTCACACCCAGAAGCCAAGACTTGGTGCGGGGGAGACGCTGTGTTCAGATGCTTCTGGTGCTGACCCAGGAAGGCGGGCGGGGAAGGTGCTGCGCGTCCACGAGGATGGCTGTGGTCGTGGGTGGCTGACCTCTGCGGGTGGGGTCTTAGGGTAGCTCTGGGCCGAGACGCCTCCGGGTGTGGGCTCGTGGGGCGGCGGGGGCGTGGGAGCTGCTGCCCCCGGTAGCCCCAGCCTGCGACCTGCCTGGGCCTGACCGTCCGGGAAACGGCCCTGACCCCAGTCAGCAGACGAGCAGCGGCTGGGCCCCTCCTGTCCTCAGAAGGCTCTTTCTCACTCTGTGGCCCCGGAATTCAGTGATCCTCCCACACTTCTAAACTACGCAACATCTTGAACCGGCTTGGGCGGGATCACGCTACCCCGGCACCCCTCCGCAGAGGTGGGCAGACGGGCAGGGCCCCGTCAGGTGCGCAGGCTCTGTTGGCGTCAGGGGCCCGAGGGCCCTTCTCCTCCCGGCTCCGAGCTCTCCCCTCTGTCGGTGTCCCGGGACACGCCCTCGCCCCTGTCCCCGGGGACCTCCCCTCCCTGCAGGGCTCTCCTCGTGGGTGCGCATGCGACAGGCTGGGGAGGGGAGTGGGCTGCAGCTGCTGGACCGGGCGGTGGGCTCAGCGTGACCTCTGCCCTCCCTGGCCTTCACGGCCCAAGCTGCACCTCTCCCTCCAGGGCACGGCCGCCTGCAGTGGAGGGTGCGGGGGTGTGAGGCTGTGAGCCTTGCGGGGGCTGCAGTAGTCAGAGTGGGGTCCTGTGCTCGCGTGGGTGTCACCAGAGAGCCCCTCAGCTTAGCCAGGCTCGCTCGTCCCTTCCTCTGGGCGCCTCCCCAGGAGGGCTCCAGAGAGTGGGCCCGGGTCCCTCCCGGGGAGGGGCAGCGGGGTGGAGTGGGCACGGCGGGGGGAGCGGCTCCAGGCTCTGGCCTCTTCCGCCTCTTTCAGGACCACGTGTGGCGACGCCGCGTGCGGCCGTGTGGGAGGATTCATTTTCCGTGTCAGCCATGTTGAGCTGTAACTCACAGACCGCACAACTCGCCCGGCTAAAGTCCAAGGGCTTGGGTTGATTCAGAGCCCAGCACATATATCCCAGGGCATTCTCCTCACCCCAGAGAAGCTTCACCTGCTAGCCGTCAGCCGTGTCCTCCCGCAGCCTGGCAGCTGAGGACCGCTTTCTGTCTCCACGGACTTGCCTGCTCAGGGCGTCCTGTGGGCTCAGCTCCTCCACCCAGCGAGGTCCTTGAGGTCCATCCCGCGGGAGCATCAGGACATCACCCTCTGAGGGCCGGAGAGAGAATGTCCTGGTCATCGTTCACCGTGCACGGCCGTCGGTGTCATGCGTGACGCAGTGGCTCCGTGCACGGGCTCCCGAGAGCACACGTGTGTTGCTCCCCTGGGCGCTCCTGGCGGGGGTGTTGGGCCTCAGAGGTGCCGCAGCGGCTGGACCTTCCGTCACTCTGGAGGTACATCTGCTGGTCCGCGGGGCTCCGACGGCCCGAGTGTGCCACCACGTGTGGGTCAGACGCAGCACCTCCCCCCGGCCCTGCGGAGGGCCGGAAACAAGGGAGGCTGCTGGGACCTTCGGGCCTCTGTCGGTGGCCCCCGCTCAGCCCTGTCCCACGGAGGCAGCTCCTCCCGAGGCAGCTGTGGAAGCCTCCTGGCCGTGGGTGGGGTGGGGAAGCCTTTCTGATGACTCACGCCGCAGGGAATTCCCTAATGATTGGGAATATTTTTACTTCTGGGCTTGCGCGCAGTTTCCTACTGAGAAAGCCAGCAAGTTCCTGATAAGGCTGGAACACAAAGGGCCGTTCAGGGCCGATCGCTTCCCTTCCCGGTAGAGGCTGAACTTGCGCAGGACGCCCAGCCGGGCCTGTGCAGAAGAGGCCGCCCAGAGGCCGCATGGCCTCCCACCCGAGGGAGGCCAGGGCAGCTCTGGGGAGTCAGCAGCCAGCGGGGCTCCGGGTGCCGGTGGGGAGGGTCCCCGTGTGATGACAGAGCAGGCAGTCACCAGCCCTGGGCGGCTCCTCCGGTCTTGGCCCTGAGCAGGGCTGCGTGTGCACTTCTGACCAAGGAGACCCTGGCCTCCGAGAGCTCACGCTGCGCTTGGGATCCCCGAGGCCGGCGCCTCGGCTGTGACCCAACCACAGAATAGAGACTCGGGGCCAGAGCCCCCCAGGGCCAGGTGGCGGGGACACAGGGAGCCCTGGGCCTGTGAGGCGGGCTTTAGTGGTGTGGTTTGAAGGCTCTGCACTTTCAGAAACCGTGCCGGTGGCCAGGCCCGGCTGGCTCGCAGCCCTGGTGCGCGCAGTGGGACCGCCGGCCCCCAGGCGGGCGCTGTGACAAGGACAGTGTCCCAAAGGCCCAGGAGGCCCTGGAGGGAAGAGACCCCTCCCGCCCTGCATGTCCTCAGCGTGCACACCCCGCCGCCCACTCCACTCCACGCCTGTATTTCCCTTAATTTTTGTTCCATGGGTGAACCTGCAACAGCGTTCCCGGGAGGCTGGTCTGGTCTTGGGCCCCTCCTGGAGGGCGGTGGTGGTAAGGTGGACGCCAGGTAATGCCGGGCGGCCTCAGTCTCCCCTTTCCTGACGGGAGGCCTGTCAGCCTCTGTCGACAAAAGACGGAGCGGCTGCCGACAGTTCAGGTTTGAGCGCTTAAAGCTGTTTTGGGGGAAAGGGACGAAGATAGGCTTTGTCATGAGAAAACTTGTTGATCTTAAAAGGCACCAGGGACACGGGAGCCTTGGTTACAGGAAGAGTAACTTCGATCTCCTCAAACCAGTGGGGGGCCCGACAGTACGTCCGCGTGCGCGGCAGGTCTGGGCCGCGCCACGCAGCAGCCTGCATCCCGTAGCGCTTTGCGCAGGCGCTGGGATCCCCCTCGTTTATCGGCCCGGAGCCAGGGCACCTCGTTCACCGAGTCCTGTGCTCGCAGGACTCTGGAGCGTTCGCTGCTTTGCAGACTCCCGATGCCTTTAGGGCGGTGGGTGTTCTTTCCGTTTCCTGTTATTTTTTCCTCGAGGAGAGCTGGATGCGGGTCCCTCGGGCCCCGGCCCCTGTCTTATCACCGAGTGGGTCCATCTGGTGGCTACTCAGCTTGGGCACCTCCGCGTCCCGAGGGGCTGGTGTGGTCCTGGCATGGCCCAGCCGCTCTGTGAGTCACATTTCCTCTCTGCTCCACCCTCCGCCCCTGCCCGGCCAGCACTGCCAGGGAGAAAAAGGAGATTTTGTCTAATTTATTTATAATTTAGGATTTGGAACACACACACATTTCTTCTTGGAAAACAGAGAATAAGCAACAGCTCAGCCCATCCAGCTGTAATGGTTTGTTTGGGGAGCCGACTTTATACAAGATGCAGAGGAAGGAGGCCCCTGTAGGAGACTGACGTCTATTAATTCAAAGTAGCGGCCAGACGAGGTCCACAAACAGCGTGCCTGCCAGAAGTGCTTCCCAGCTCCCAGAGCAGGCTCCGCTCCGTCACCCCAGAGGGCGGGCTTCCAGCCTTCGGCTCCCTCGAGGGCCTGGTCCGGGGACAATAAACCCTTTCTTTCACGGCACTGGAGCCTTTTCAGTTTTTTCAAACATGCAAACGCCACAGGGTGAGGTTAAAAATACCTTGTGTTTTGCATTTCTGTATCCTGATGCGCCAAAGCAGTCACAGAGCGGATTTTCTTGTTCACCCGGCGGTTCCCCTGAGCTGGGGCAGGACCGAGGCTCCCAGGCCCCTGCTCATTAGAATAACCCTGTTCCCGAGACACCGAGGGCTCTGTGGCCCCAGCCGCGAGGCCCCGCAGCCCCCCATATGCCGCAGGCCAGACGCAAACCAGGTCCGAGTCCCCAGACAGCGCCCTTCCTACCCGGGTCATCCGCGCGCCTCCCGGGCTCGCTTCCCTTGGAGACCTGAGCATGGACCCCACCCGGGGCTGGCGCTGGGGGTGCTCACTGGCACGTGGCTCCTTCCTGCAGAGCGGGGTCTCCAGGCCCCACCAGGTCCATGCTCTAGGGTTTGGGTTTGAGCTTCTCCCCAGAGCCTCGTGGCCTCTCTCCAGCCGGTCAGTCAGGTGCGGCCTCCCAGTCTCACCAGCTGCTAGTGGGCCGGCCGGGCCAGGGTGGACCCTCTCATCAGAGGGTTCCCGCCCCGAGTCCCGTCTGCCTGCATCCGGGTGTGATTTCGGGGCGGTGCCCGGTCAGGACAGAGTAACGGACTTCTCGCGCCCTTTCTTGCAGACGGCCACCACATCTGGGAGATGGAGGCGAAAATCGACGGAGCGCTGTGCAAGCCGGTAAGTGCGGCGGGCGGCCATGGGCGGCGCTCTCTGGGCGGGGCTTTTTATCGGCGGCGGCTCCTGGCCCAAGGCACGTGGCTTCTACTTTGTTAAAACGAACCACTGATGAACGTAACAGACAGAGCGAGGAACGGAAATGGTTGGGAAATGCCTCCCGACGTGAGCGCGCTCGGGACTTGCAGCACGGGGACGACTCGGACGTGGGGCCACCAGGGAGGACAGGGCGCCTCGTGTGCTGCAGGCCCCCCACCAGGAAGCCCAGGATGCACTCATACCCCCGGGGCCTGCTGTCCCCGCTGGCTGCCATTGTCACCAGGGCCCCAGGGGGCCCACTGCCCAACCCCCCTCCGCCGGGAGGACCTGCTGTCCAGAACCTGAGCACACCTTCCCCGCTCCTGGGCAGGTGGGCCTCGGGGTTCCGCCAGCATCCTTGACAGTGACCCCTCACTGCTGTCCTCCCAGGGAAGAGCCAGGACACAGACGCGAGGTCAGACCTCAGTGTGCTCAGCCGGCTTGTCCGTTGGCCGGCAGCCGGGGCCCCTGCGGGGACGGGCGCCTGCCGCACACGCCTGACCTCTGAGGGGTCGCCGCGCTGGCCCAGGGCCTGCCTGAGCCCGTCCTTACGCGCGGCCTCCCGTGGCCCTCGTGGTTCACGCACGGAGGGACCTGAGGCAGAATGACTGTTCCTCGAGTTGTGGGTGGAGGATGTTTTCTGTGTGAAGTCGTAGCTGCCGCAGCGTTCTCTGACCCGCCTTTCAGTCTGTGTCCTTGTGGTTTAAGCGGGCTCTTCGGGCCTTGTGTTCTTACCTGCCCCACAGCCTCTGTCTTCTCGTTGGGGCGTTGAGACCATTGTGTGTGAAGCGATTATTGCCGGGGTTGGGTTAACTGTGCACCACCGAGTGCGTGTGTGTCCTACTTGGTCCCAGAAGAGCAGTAGAAACCTTCAGGTAACATAACGTACAGGCTAGCAGGTGACTCTCTGGAGACGTTCACAGACCTTCCAGGCTCTCTGCCTCGGCCCACCAGCCACTCCTGACGCAGGTGTGTGGATGCAGGGAATGGGGGTCACGGTTCAGAATCTCGTCCAGGTCAAGGACTGAATTTTTTCCTCAGGCTCCCCCGTGTGAACAGGGGACCTCGGGCTGTGGGCTTTGCCGAAGGGATCTAGGCGCCCTCTGCGCGGTGGCCGGGAGGACACGTGCTGGGAAGGAGGCCTGGGGCCTGCACTTCCTCCGCACAGGCGGCGCTGTCAGGAAGAAGCATCTTTCACCTGCGACTTAAGCTTTCTTTTCCAAGCACCGACCCATTTACCAGAAGGCTTTTCAAATGGTATCAGAAGGAGATGCTTCCTCCTTGGCCCAGGGGCGACACCTGCGTCCACGACCTCGCTCCGCCCAGGGTGTCCAGGCCTCTAACCTCACACATCCTCTTGGGCTCCTCCTGGCCCCCCCGAGAAAGTGCCCCGTCTCAGGCAGCTCCACTTTCTGACGGGGACTCTGGGTCCCGCAGGCCCAGCAGTCGCAGAGCCAGCCCTCAGGTTTGCTGTGACAGACACTGGCCACCAGCCGTCACCCCGAAACGGGGGCCCTCGGCTCCCAGTTCCAGCCCCACCGCAGGCCTGAGTCCTCTGCCCCCAGGCCCCAGTGCCGCCCACCCCTTCTCCCTGGGCAGGAAGGAGAGGCCTGCAGAAGCTATGCATCTGTTGGCATCGAAATAATTCTGCCAAGTTTGCATGTTCAGATTTTCCGTTGTTGAGTTTCCTTTTCCACTGTGAACAGCACGTATATTAAAGAAAGCTTAACGGTTATCAGTCATGTGTTCTAAAAGAAACGTAGGATATGTGAATAATGGTGTGCTTTACGTTCACCATTTCATCTTTCTTATCTCTTAAATGAAGTTTACTTTTATATATTTTTTTCTAATTATAAAAGAGTGTCATATTCACTGTGGAAAATTGGAAGATATAGCAAAGTATAACCAAAGAAAACGCCTAGTGTAATTTCCCCACTTGGATGTAGCCACCATTCACATTGGGGCGTATTTCCTTCCATCCTTTTCCTGTCACGGGTGTCTGTCTCCATGTGCACACACATATATACACGCGCCTCGTGTCGTGGGCATGTTTAAAACAGGGTCGGATTGTGCTGTATTTATAGTTTATGTACTGTCGTGAGCAATTTAGACGATGGGTTTTCTTTTTTTAAATCAATTTATTTGTCTTATTTATTTATCTTTGGCTGCATTGGGTCTTCGTTGCTGCACACGGGCTTTTCTCTAGTTGCGGTGAGCAGGCTGCTTCTCGTTGCGGCGGCTTCTCTTGTTGTGGCTCACGGGCTCTAGGCGCGTGGGCTTCAGTAACTGTGGCTCGCGGGCTTAGTTGCTCCGCGGCCTGTGGGATCCTCCCGGACCAGGGATCGAACCCGTGTACCCTGCATTGGCAGGTGGATCCTTAACCACTGCGCCCCCAGGGGAGCCCCCAGACAGTGGGTGTTCTTAAAGCAGGTGACATGGATGTACTGAGTGCCGTTGGTAACCCTACTCTGCTCCCGTCGTGACAGGTGTCCCTGTCACTGCGCTTTCCTTCCCGCCCCTGCCTTACTGCGTATCGAGCATTAGTGCTCCCACGAGGACAGAACTTCGTCACAAACTTTCATAGTTTGTCTAGCATCTCAGTCTGTGACCACATCAAAACACAGCCCTCCAGCCTCTTAGAACCCACAGAAGCCGACCCGCGACGTGGAACCTGCTCAGGGCTCCTTGCCCTGCCGGACGCACCCCGGTGCTTCCTGCAGCCGCTCCTGTTGACGCCTCCCCGCTTTGCTTCTGGCCTCAGCTCAGGCAAACCCTCCTCCTTTCTGTCTCTTGTCCTGGTTCCTCCTGTAGAGATCGGGCTCTGGTCGCCGTGGGCCGCCGTGTCTGCCATCATGGCGCACCAGCTCTGTGCCGGGGGCCAGCATCACCTGCAGGGTCGCCTCATATCATTGCATTCTCAGAAAACAGCCCCCAAGGAGTGTCTTTCTCTTCCGGTTCCCTGCGCAGGTGGTGGAGCTAAGACTCAGAGATGGCAGAGCCAGGGCAGAAACCCAGACCCGTCGGGCCCCAGCCAGGCTCCCGAACACGGGCCGCGTAGCTGGGGTGCAGACTCTCTGCAGGGGTCTGGCTGGGCGCACACCCTCAGCCCCACTGGGTCCGTCCCCTTGGGGTTCCTTTGCTCAGGCAGGAGACCTGCATGCTTGTGGCTTCTTCCAAATGGAATGAGGCTGTTAGAACAACAGGGGACATTGCCTGACGCAAGTGTGGCCCCAGGGGACGGAGCCCAGAGGGGGCTGCAGCCCGGGTCCCGGCCCCTCCGGCCCTGCCACTCGTGTGCCCTCAGCAGCAGGCTTCTGAGCCCCATTTCTTCACCTGGAAAGGGAAGAGGTTGTCCTGAAGTTCTCCTCAGTTTTGGTTAAACATTCTTCAGATTTCATTATTAACAGGATTCAATCAATTTTGCTGTTAAATTGGGTAACAGGCTACAGTTACTCTAATTAAAAAAAAAAAGGGATGCCATGGATTTTTCTTATACATTTTCCTACTTGTTAACCGAAATCATATGACAAAAACCTTGAGGAAACTTTCGGGATGTGAACTCTCCTCCCCGCCCCCAAAGCAAGGGCACCTCCTTGGCGCCAAGGACGGGCCCTCGCGTGGACGCCCGGTCTCGGCACACGGACCCCAGCCTGCTTCCTTCTCCCACACGCGTGCTGCCCCACGGCGACCTGTGTTTATACCTGTACTTGAAAGGGCCACTTTTGTAAACGTGTCGCTGACTTTTCATTGAAAACATGGAAAGGTAACAGCAGCTTCCGCAAGCCACCCTGATGCACCCGTGCCTGACCGTCCGCCCCCCCAGTCCGCTGAGTCCGACTCTCCCGTCCCGTCCGCCCCCCAAGTCCGCTGAGTCCGACTCTCCCGTCCCCTTCGATTTGAGAGGGTCATGGCTTGGGCTCTGGGCCGTCGGTACAGAACGTCTGCGGCGAGCGCTTCCCCTGGGTCTTTGTTGCCAGTTACCTGAACTGCTGCTCCCGGCTTCCCCAGGAGCACCAAGTCGGTGAATGTGGGCTTAGTTTTCTGAAGGTCATGCCCTGGCGTGGGGGCAGAGGGGCGTGGGGTCTTGTGGAGACTCCCCTGCCCGATAGCGGGCCCGCTCTTAGCATCTGCTCACGGCTTCTCTCCTGGGCCCAGTCGGTGGCATCGTAGGTGAAGCCCCCGCCTCCCTACCTCGCACACACCCCAGCCCACCTTTCGGCTCTGCTGGGAGGAATCAGGGTCCCTGCAGGCTCTCAGGGTGGCCTCTCTGAAGGGGAAACCTGCCGTGTGTTTCACACTCCGGGAGGGCCTGGGTGTGTCTGCGTTTGCGAGATGCTCACCGCCCCCTCCTTCTGCCGCTTTCTCTCTAGAATTCGCTGGTGGTGGAGATCCCGCCTTTTCGCAACCAGAGGATAACCAGCCCGGTCCAAGTCAACTTCTACGTCTGCAACGGGAAGCGGAAGAGGAGCCAGTACCAGCACTTCACCTACCTGCCCGCCAATGGTAACGCTCTCTTTCTAACCCTAAACGCTGCGAACCAACCCACGGGGTGCTTTTCCTGAAAGAAAATCAGGAACCCTGACATGTGGTGGCTTCAGACCGTGTGGTCGCGCTGCACGCCCGAGCTGTTACCGTCCTGTTAGCAAGATCACGTCGTCGGTTCCTTCCAGAGAAAAGTGGAGCTTTCAGTGTATTTTCCTTTATTACTCTTGCGGCTGGGGGCTGCATTTGGGGATAATTACTGATCATTTTGTTAGCTGCTTGCAGATATACAACCGCCAAGGGGGAAAAGGTGCAGCTCTTCTGTACACAGAAGCTGAGGTGGCCTCGGTGTGAGTTTAAATTCTAGAGATGTTTAAGGCGGAGAAGCAAATGGTTATCATGATTTTGCAGGTGCCTTTAGAAATAAACCCTTGTATGAAGCCTGAAGGCTGGTGGTTGGTGTGATCATTAACTGACGGTAATGATTTCTGTCCTCGAGCTAACGTCCCACAGAAAACTCCTGGTTGGATAATTGCGTCTCCGGTGACCAGGGGGCTTGCGCTCCCAGACACCCTTCACTCGACCAGAAAGCACCTCGTTCAGGTTGTCCACTCACACGCTCTGAGGATGGTTTCTTGGCCTGAAAAAGACCTGTTTACCTTCTTCACTTTTTAGGCTGTTTTCTGAAGGAGAACAGCATCGTGTGTTGTTTCGCTTCTGAACTAGTAGAAAGTTGTTTCTCGGTGTTGCCCAGACCCGAGGCCTGGCGCCTGGGGCCCATGCCGCCCTCCTCCAGGCCGGCAGGGTGTGTGTCCAGAGAGGGCCGCGTCCTGATTCACCTGTGTCACGTAAGCACAGCTGTGCCGACGGTCTTGTTATACTGTGACTGCTGTTTTAAAAACTTGAGATTCACATAACCTAGGAGGGAAACCACGCACTAGGACTGATTGCGAAAGCGGCCATGTCATCACCTTAGTGAAAGCAAGACGTTTTTGAAGGCTTCGGGCTCCTCCTAGTGTGAAATGTCACGTACGATAGACTAGGTGATAGAAAGCCCTGGAAAACCCGAGGGGATAGCAAGCAGAATCAACTGCTTTTGGGGCAGACGCTAGCCACGCCTGTCCAGGCTTGAATAACGTGGTCTCGTGCTCATCACGTCACGAGCATGTACGTGAACAGACCTGCAGGAGTGTGCGTTGCCGTGGGGCCGTCTGGGGGCCCCTCTGGGACTTCTGGGGTGGGTACTGCGCACTCCGCTAATCCTGCCTGTTCTCGGATGTGGTACTACACTCCTTACAGCAGAAAATACTCAGTCTTTGTTTGGAAATGTAATGATCGTGTCCTAATTAAAATTCAAGCATGGTTGACTAAAAATTGAATGCTTTAAAGAAAACCTAGGCTTATGAAGAAAAATTCCTTTCTAAAGCAGTTTAGAAATCAGCTCGAACGTCATTTCCTGCAGTTCCTGCTCGAAGTTCACCTCCCGCTTAACACAGACGCCCCCAGTCAGAGGGAAGGGGTCTGTGTGCAAACCGGGTCCCCCTTTCGGGGGGGTACCGAGGCCCCCAGAGACACGTCACTGAGATCCTGGGGCAGGGCTGTCGAGGGGCCACCGTCTCCCCCCAACCCTACAGCTGCCGTTCAGTCCTGCAGGCTCCCTCCCGCCAGGGGCTGACCTGCCCCCCGCTCCGCACCCCTTCACCCCCGTGTCAGCCCAGCACAACCATCGCTCATGCTGTGTGGACCGTCACCCGGACCCCCCGGTCCCTCGAGCTGGTGACCCAGCCCCGCCCACAGAGCCGTCCGTCCGTCCCTCCGGAGCATGGTTTTCTGGCTCTGTGGCCTGTGCTGCTCTCATCAGGCCCTGGTCTCCCTTCACTTCTCTCCTGGAAATCTGCCCCATCCCCAGGGGGTCGAGGGGTCCGTGCCACCCACGCCCGAGAGCCCCGGTCCTGCCCTGCCTTCCTGGGTGGCCGTGCCCCGTGGGGCTGTGAGCTCCCTGGGAGCAGGGACCCAGCCGGCCCTGACTCCGTGCCCAGATCGTGGGGACCGTCCTCCTGTGCTTTTCTTTTGTGAACAATAAACGCACCAGCGCGAGAGCGGAGCTCGAGCTCCCAGCTTTAGGCTTCGTGTTTTTTCTCGCGGTCGCTTCTGCCCCCTGCAGCTTCGGGCTGAGTCTTCACGCGGCTCAGCAGGTGGTGTTGGTTAGGGGCCAGGTGGGCACCTCCTTCCCACGTCTGGTCCCAGCCTGTCCTTACCCTCCGAAGCCTCCGCCGCAGAGAAGCCTCCCACCCTGCCGCCCGCCGTCTGACACATCGTTAGTGTCGTTGTTCAAACCGCAAGGAAGCCCGGCTGCGGGTCTGCGCGGGGCCTGGGCGACTAGGGCCGCTCCCCGTCTCTGGGGGCCGTGTTTGGGGGAAAGTCTCCAGGTGCGGGTAGGACGCCCTGAGCGAGCAGAGTGTGTACAGCGGGGGTTCCTGGCGGGAAGGTCAAGGGCAGAGCAGGGAAGACAGCAGGGCAGTTGCAGGAGAGGCCACGGACCCACCCATGTGCAGCCAGGGAGGTTTTCCTCAGTTTCTTGTTTGTCGCTGTCTGGGTTTAACCGCAGTCTCCCGAAAGAAAGCGTCCGCTCTCTCCAGTGCTGTGAGCTGCGGGGCCCTGGTACCTGTCACGAGGCCGAGACCCCGGGGAAACAGCCCCAGTTGAAGAGGGAAAGCAGCCTACTCTGTGGGGAGCGGCCCCTGGGTTCGGGGGGACGACGGCGTCCACACTGGCTGTGTCCCCAGGGCTTCCGTTTCCGACGCTGCCCAGTGACCCCGGGACGAGCAGGCAGGGACGGCAGCTCACACACTAGGGGGGAATCCCAGCCAATGACTTCAGAGCCATGGGCCAAAGTCAGCATGTTCCTAGAACGAGGAGGTCAGTCATGACAGATCCTCGGGCCTGGAGGGTCTGCCTGTTCCCCTGAGATGTTTCTAGCTGGTCCCCAGGAGCGCCTGCAGTGGCACCAGGCCCCCTGCCCACCTGTTGCTCGGGGTGAGGGTCCTGGAGCTTCACCAGAGTCAGCCAGGGAGGCCCTGGGGGTGTTGATCCTGGGCCTCAAGCCCACCCGACATTCCCACCTGAAGGCTGAGGGGAGCCGGGTGGGTCCCGGTGCAGGCCGGCGGGAGCCGGGACGGGGCGCCCGCTGTGGCTGGTGGCACGGCCACTGCCCATGGGCCTTTTGGAACCTTCCTGAGTCAGCTCAGTGGCGTGGCGACCGCGTGGCGGTGAGCGTGCATTGGAGGGGGACGGTGCACAGCTACGCACGTCGGGCTCATGCAGGCGCTGTGATGCGCCTTCTCCTGGGAACTCCCGCGTCCCGGAGGCTGCTGTTAGTAAATTGCCAATTTTCGGGCGCTCTCGCTGTTCCAGCAGGAGAACGAGGGACCGATGTTTTCATTTCTTTCCACGTTAAACCTGCCGCCGCAGAGAGGCAGGGAATTGGCTGCCCCACCAGGCCCCCCGGGAGGGACGAGTCAGGGCCGGGCCGGGGCCCGTGGGGAGGGTTTGGAAGCCGCCCTTCCCCGCAGCGCTCTCCACGGGCCTGAGCTCCTCACAGTGTGTCTGGTTCGCACGCTGCTGGCCTCCCCGTGAGGTGTCCAGACCCGGTGGCAGGAGAGCCCAGGCGTGTGAAGGGGAGGTGGCTTCCCCTCTAAAGGCCGCCACGGGGTCGACTCTGTCGACCGTCCTGACAGACACCGGCCTGAGGCCCCCGACGTGGCCTTGAATCCGCAGGGAGGGGTTTGAGCTTGGAACAGAGTAGGACGAGGGGGTGAATCGTGGGGCCTGAGCTGCTGGGAAAGAAGGCGGGTGCCCTTTCCGTAGGGGGCCCACACCCAAGGCTCCCCCACTGAGACCGTCACCCGTGGCGGAACAGCGAGGGGGAGGGTGGTTTTGATCAGATCCCTGAGGGCCACGGCCACCGACTGCAAAGGCAACGCGATGCGGGAGTGAGGCCGGACCCCCAAGAAGTCTGAGCACAGCCTTGCGGAGGGACGACCTGGTGACCCCTTCCCCCGGGGACCGGGGCCTGCCCACGACAGCGCGCGGCGCGGGGGTTACCCCAGCACGGCCCCCCGCCAAGTCACAGCCCTCTGTGCACAGCTGCTCGGGTCAAACCACAGGAGAGTGGATCACATTCCCTACGGACGCAGCGCTGGCAACAGCGGGTGAAGTCCGAGCGGCGCGTTTGCTGGCTCGTGCGGTCTGCTCTGCCCGAAGGCCACGGCCAGCCCAGCTGCGGGGAGCCGGAGCCCCGGGTAAGGGCCCTGGAGCCACGGGGCTGGTGCCACAGACGGCGAGGCCGCCACACCCGCTCACACCCCGCCTGCCGCGACAGAGCTGTCTCCCGGTGTCCACTCGACGCTCCCGCAGAGGCTGCCAGGCAGCACCCCCAGAAAGGCGGGGAGGACCCGAGGAGGACAGGCCACCCCGTCGGGCTTGGCGGGCACTGCCGCCACCGCGGAGCTGGGGTCTCAGCGGAGTCTGTGGTGTCTCGGTCGGGAGGTTCCTGCCATGCGGCCCAGAGCCTTGTCCTCTGGGAACCCGAGGACCTGGCGCAAGTGCTGGCTGTGCTGGGGGAGGTGGGGTAGGAGCTTGTGCCTGCCATCACGCGGCGGTGGGGTCTGTGAGTCCCCTCCTCGTCCTCCGGTCCATCCGCCCCAGCCCCCTCTCGGCCCTGGACGCAGACGTGGGCGCCCGCTTGCTGAGGGCCGGCGGTGCAGAAGGCTCCTGCCACCACGTCTCCTGCCTCAGAAAAGTCGCGCCCTGAAGCTGCCCTGCTGGCGTTTGTGTCAGCGGCTCACGCGTAACAAACAGAAGACAGTCTGCGCTTCGTTCTCCGTGCTCCGGGCTCGGGGCAACCTCTTCTGCACAGGGCGGTGGCCGCAGCCGAACCGCTGAGGCCTTGGTGGGAGGGGCGGGGGGCGGTCACAGGGGGCGTCCTCGCCTGCGGGGGATGCTCAGCGCCCGTACACCCC